GGAGTGGGAGTGGAGTGGGAGTGGAGTGGGAGTGGAGGGGGAGTGGAGGGGGAGTGGAGGGGGAGTGGAGGGGGAGTGGAGGGGGAGTGGAGGGGGAGTGGAGGGGGAGTGGAGGGGGAGTGGAGGGGGAGTGGAGGTGGAGTGGAGGGGGAGTGGGTGAGTGGGATGGGAGTGGAGGGGGAGTGGGTGAGTGGGAGTGGGAGTGGGAGTGGGAGTGGGAGTGGGAGTGGGAGTGGGAGTGGGAGTGGGAGTGGGAGTGGAGTGGAGTGGAGTAAAATGAAGTGGAGTGGAGTGGAGTGGAGTGAAGTGGAGTGGAGTGGAGTGGAGTTGAGTGAGTGAGTGGGTGGGTGAGTGGGTGAATGGGTGAGTGAGCGAGTGCGTGAGTGGGTGAGTGGGTGAGTGGGTGGGTGGGTGGGTGGGTGGGTGGGTGGGTGGGTGGGTGGGTGGGTGGGTGGGTGGGTGAGTGGGTGAGTGGGTGAGTGGGTGAGTGGGTGGGTGAGTGGGTGGGTGGGTGGGTGAGTGGGTGAGTGGGTGAGTGGGTGAGTGAGTGAGTGAGCGAGCGAGCGAGTGAGCGAGGGAGTGAGGGAGGGAGGGAGGGAGTGAGCGAGTGAGCGAGTGAGGGAGTGAGGGAGTGGAGGGAGGGAGGGAGGGAGGGAGGGAGGGAGGGAGGAAGGGAGGGAGGGAGGGAGCCAGGGGAGGGAGGGAGGGGAGGGGAGGGGAGGGGAGGGGAGGGGAGGGGAGGGAGGGGAGGGGAGGGGAGGGGAGGGAGGGGAGGGGAGGGGAGGGAGGGGGAGGAAGGGGAGGAACGGGAGGAACGGGAGGAACGGGAAGGGGAGGAACGGGAGGAAGGGGAGGAAGGGGAGGAAGGGGAGGAAGGGGAGGAAGGGGAGGAAGGGGAGGAAGGGGAGGGAGGGGAGGGAGAGGGAGGGGAGGGAGGGGAGGGAGGGGAGGGAGGGAAGGGAGGGAAGGGAGGGAGGGAGGGAGGGAGGAGGGAAGGAAGGAAGGAAGGAAGGAAGGAAGGAAGGAAGGAAGGAAGGAAGGAAGGAAGGAAGGAAGGAAGGAAGACAGGACGACAGACAGACAGAAAGAAACAAAGAAGGAAAGCAGGAAAGAAGGAAACAAAAAAGGAAAGAAAGAAGGAAAGGGGACACAAGGACGGAATAAATGAAAAGAAGGAAAGGAAAACAAGAAACAAGGAAGTAAGGAAGGAAGAAAAAAATACAGCAACACGGAAAGAAAGAAAGAAAGAAAGAAAGAAAGAAAGAAAGAAAGAAAGAAAGAAAGTAAGTAAGAAAGAAAGAAAGAAAGAAAGAAAGAAAGAAAGAACGAAAGAAAGAAAGAAAGAAAGATAGAAAGACAGAAAGAAAGACAGAAAGAGAGAAAGAGAGAAAGAGAAAAAGAGAAAAAGAGAGAAAGAGAGAAAGAGAAAAAGAGAAAAAGAGAGAAAGAGAGAAAGAGAGAAAGAGAGAAAGAGAGAAAGAGAAAGAGAAACAGAAAGAGAAAAATAAAGAGAAAAAGAAAAAATGAAAAAGAAAAAGAAAAAGAAAAAGAGAAAGAAAAATAAAAAGACAAAGAAAGAGAAAAATAAAGAGAAAAAGAAAAGATTTAAAAAAAAAAAAAAAAAAAAAAGATAAACAAGAAAGAGAAAAAGAAGAAGAAGAGATAAAAAAGAAAGAGAAAAAGAAGAAGAAGAAAAAAGGGGGAAAACAGGGAAGGAAGGAGGAAGGAAGGAAGGAAGGAAGGAAGGAAGGAAGGAAGGAAGGAAGGAAGGAAGGAAGGAAGGAAGGAAGGAAGGAAGGAAGGAAGGAAGGAGAGAAGCAAAAAAAACAGGATGCAAACACACAAAACTGAAAATATAATCATCATGCAAGAGACTCTCAAATGGTACTGTACTCCGTTTTTTGGTTGGTGGCTGATGGGAAAGCAAAAAAAACAACCATTTTGGGGGCCCAGAAACCCTTCGTGCAGAGCAACCAACTTCTGTCTGTCTCTGAGACTGCCTCTCGATGGGCAGTCCCATCATCCTGGACCTGGGAAGCAAACACACAAGCAGATTAGCAGAGTGGTTTTGACCTGGACCTGGACCTGTAGTAAGTTTGACGCCCCCGCTGTTCCTTGCCCATTTGGGACCCCTCCAAATGATGTTCCTTTGATTTTCCCTTTGAAACCAACCGTCAAAAGGAGGTTACCCTAAAAAAGACGCACCCTTTTTTGAGGGCATCGTTACCAACTTCGTGTGAAGGGAAACCAGAAGGACAACCACCATGTTGAGTCCTCCACATCCCCATTTCCTATAGGGATCCTTTTCTTCGAGTACAATGCCTGGAAACGAAAGCGATTTCACGACCTGTAACATGGATTGGCCACGCTGGTCTGTCCATGAGAAAGGCGTGTTTCAGAGCGTTGGCTTTCGGATTGAGTTGTGTTTGCACTTGAGTCCCTGGTCAGTGCCTCCTCGTGCGGATAGGGTGTGTCCAGTGTAGTCTCTGTGGGGCATTACGGGACGCTAGGTTTGCATTTGGGCTTGTTTCAGGTTGGCTTAGGGCCTAGAGCTTCATGTGAGGGTGATTTAGTTTGGCTTGGGGGATTGTTTAGAGCTGGAACGGCTCCTGCATTGGCGTTTCCAAGTTGCTTGCTTTCTTGCTTGCTTGCTTGCCTATGCTCGAGATGGAACACATACCCCTGAAGTGGAGCTATTTAGCAAGGTTTGAAAAGGATGTAGGGTTTTAGATGGTTTGCTCTTTGAGAAGACCTCTCAGACCTTGCCACAACACCACAGGAGCTCTCCAGTCTCTCCCGCATTCCATCCTGTGGCTGCGGCCACACCAGGTTGGAGGTGACGCCCAAAGCTCGGGACACTGCGAAGATCACCTCACACATGCAAGGGTCCTTTTGCCAAAAGAATGAGTACCCAGCTCCAAGAACCGACTTTTGGGTTTCTGCTGGTTTCCCTTCAAACCGACCTGAAAGGGTACCGAGCCTCAAATAAAAAAGGTGCGCGTGACACTGAAGCACTGAAGCTGATCGTTCCAGGTTCGTGGCTGTGTAGTAATCTTCTTGGTTCAGGCCGAAGTACTGCCTGGGCTCCGGCTCAGGCAAGCGGCACTGCCCAAGCTGTCCACTATTCTGAGACAAAAGATAGCTAATCTGGGCCCCCTGGCATGCAGGTGCCTGACAGAGCATCCACGTTGGGCCATGGGTTCCTGGGAAAGGCAATCAGGACTGCAGCAACAACAGGCATCGTTTTTGCTTTGGCCGCGTCCATCACTCTTGGCAACACGATGAATGCAGTATATAAAGACATCTCTTGGCAGGGCACCCCTTCGAGATCGCTTGAGGCGATCCATGCAACAGGGACACTCTGTCGCTATCTCAACAGTTATTATTGGGCTGTCTCAAACATTCTACCGCCCATTCCAACCGCGGCCCTACAATCTCGGATGTTCTTCGCTGTCCCGACGATCCGACGACGACCGCCCTAACCCTCAACCCACCCAGATCACCCTAGACAACGCTCCGTCAAAGCAAATGGAAACAACAAACGACTGAAGCCCCGTCCCCAGCATTCCGACTATCCTGAACAGTGTTGTTCTGCCTTCTGAATGGTGTACTTTGCATTTCTAAATTATGTTTGTCTGATTTGCGTACTTTGGAAAATTCAAGCATGCAAAGGCATGGCCGGTGCCTGTTGGGTTGAGTCGCTCCCGATGGGCCTAGTGCCTCGTGAATTCCTTGCCCATGCCACCAAGTCTCTTCACCTTTCCGGTCGCCTCCAGAACAGGCGGAATGGCCTCGCCGAAGCTCAGGTCTCTCCGCCCCCAATGCCCCCAGGTCTCTCTGCGCCTGAAAGCAGACCTCCGCAAGCTTCACCAGGGGGTCATTGGGGAAGTTGTCCTGACGGAACGCGGAGACGCAGCTTGTCCTTCCAAGCCGAACTTTCACCGCCAGTGCAGGCCTGGGCAAACTGCCGCTGGATGGTGTAGCGCCTTAGAGCCCAGGCAGCGTCCAAGTCTGCTTCTGACACTACGCTCCCAAGTCACAGCACAGCTGTTCCACTAGGCAGCCACGCGGGTCTGTGTTGCGCAGCACACCGTGGCCGAAGCCCGGGATGACCTTGCCCGAGGCCAGTGTGTCCTGGCCAGGCCAAGTGTGGATTCAAACGGTGCCGTTATGCTCCAAAAAAGTGCTATCCCCAACAGCGAGCCCAGAAAACCAGCAAATTCTCCGCCCGCTCTGGAAGCCACTGGAACCCTCCCACGGAACAGCTTTCAGCTTGGCATCATTCCAAGGAAGACATTTAAAAAGCTGCTCCAGACCGCTCCGGAGCTGTGGGCAATGACCCAACAGTGAAAAACTCCACGGTAGTCTTACACCACATGTAAATTATCCAGACCATGCATTCAGAAAGCAGGTCAGGTCTGCTTTTGCCTTGCCTCCTAAACGAACACAACACAGACAAGCAAGTCAACGCCACCCCATCGTCTTGCACTGTTGACTCATCTGAGGCACCACCAGTCGATCGGCACGACTGCTGGCCGGCTTGGTGTGCATGTCGCTCACATCTCACATGCCCGCTGCTCCCTTTTCTGCCAACCTCGTATGACATGGCCAATCTTTCATGCAATGACTTGTGCGCCGACAGCTCAACGTCGCCCCCACTGCATGGGATTGAGTGCCGTCTTGAATGGGGCAATGTCGTCTTGCACTGTTGACTCATCTGAGGCACCACCAGTCGATCGGCACGACTGCTGGCCGGCTTGGTGTGCATGTCACTCACATCTTACATGCCCGCTGCTCCCTTTTCTGCCAACCTCGTATGACATGGCCAATCTTTCATGCAATGACTTGTGCGCCGACAGCTCAACGCCACCCCCACTGCATGGGATTGAGTGCCGTCTTGAATGGGGCAATGTCGTCTTGCACTGTTGACTCATCTGAGGCACCACAAGTCGATCGGCACGACTGCTGGCCGCCTTGGTGTGCATGTCACTCACATCTTACATGCCCGCTGCTCCCTTTTCTGCCAACCTCGTATGACATGGCCAATCTTTCATGCAATGACTTGTGCGCCGACAGCTCAACGACACCCCCACTGCATGGGATTGAGAGCCGTCTTGAATGGGGCAATGTCGTCTTGCACTGTTGACTCATCTGAGGCACCACCAGTCGATCGGCACGACTGCTGGCCGGCTTGGTGTGCATGTCCCTCACATCTTACATGCCCGCTGCTCCCTTTTCTGCCAACCTCGTATGACATGGCCAATCTTTCATGCAATGACTTGTGCGCCGACAGCTCAACGCCACCCCCACTGCATGGGAGGGATGCCGTCTTGAAATGGGGCAATGTCGTCTTCACCTGTTGACTCCTCTGAGGCAACCACAAGTCATCGGCATCGACTGCTGGCCGCACTTGGGGTGCAATGTCCACTCACTATCTTAACAATGAGTTTTCGAGAAATACTTTTTCTGCCAACCTCTCGTGGAACATGGCCAATCTTTCATGCAAATGACTTTTGCGCCGACAGCTCAACGCCAACCCCCACTGCATGGTGATTGAGTGCCGTCTGGAATGGGGCCAAGTCGTCCTGCACTGTATTGACTGCATCTAGGCACCACCAGTCGATCGGCACGACTGCTGGCCGCTTGGTGGGCATGTCCCACCCACCCCCCCCCCCCCAACATCTTAACATGCCCGCAGCTCCCTGTGCTGCCAACCTCTATGAACATGGCCAATCTTTCAATGCAATGACTTGTGCGCCGACACAGCTCAACGCCACCCCCACTGCATGGGATTGAGTGCCGTCTTGAATGGGGCAATGTCGTCTTGCACTGTTGACTCATCTGAGGCACCACCAGTCGATCGGCCCGACTGCTGGCCGGCTTGGTGTGCATGTCACTCACAACCTCGTATGACATGGCCAATCTTTCATGCAATGTCTTGCACTGTTGACTCATCTGAGGCACCACCAGTGGATCGGCCCGACTGCTGGCCGGCTTGGTGTGCATGTCACTCACATCTTACATGCCCGCTGCTCCCTTTTCTGCCAACCTCGTATGACATGGCCAATCTTTCACGCAATGACTTGTGCGCCGACAGCTCAACGCCACCCCCACTGCATGGGATTGAGTGCCGTCTTGAATGGGGCAATGTCGTCTTGCACTGTTGACTCATCGAGGCACCACCAGTCGATCGGCACGACTGCTGGCCGGCTTGGTGTGCATGTCACTCACATCTTACATGCCCGCTGATCCCTTTTCTGCCAACCTCGTATGACATGGCCAATCTTTCATGCAATGACTTGTGCGCCGACAGCTCAACGCCACCCCCACTGCATGGGATTGAGTGCCGTCTTGAATGGGGCAATGTCGTCTTGCACTGTTGACTCATCTGAGGCACCACCAGTCGATCGGCCCGACTGCTGGCCGGCTTGGTGTGCATGTCACTCACATCTTACATGCCCGCTGCTCCCTTTTCTGCCAACCTCGTATGACATGGCCAATCTTTCATGCAATGACTTGTGCGCCGACAGCTCAACGCCACCCCCACTGCATGGGATTGAGTGCCGTCTTGAATGGGGCAATGTCGTCTTGCACTGTTGACTCATCTGAGGCACCACCAGTCGATCGGCCCGACTGCTGGCCGGCTTGGTGTGCATGTCACTCACATCTTACATGCCCGCTGCTCCCTTTTCTGCCAACCTCGTATGACATGGCCAATCTTTCATGCAATGACTTGTGCGCCGACAGCTCAACGTCACCCCCACTGCATGGGATTGAGCGCCGTCTTGAATGGGGCAATGTCGTCTTGCACTGTTGACTCATCTGAGGCACCACCAGCCGATCGGCACGACTGCTGGCCGGCTTGGTGTGAATGTCACTCACATCTTACATGCCCGCTGCTCCCTTTTCTGCCAACCTCGTATGACATGGCCAATCTTTCATGCAATGACTTGTGCGCCGACAGCTCAACGCCACCCCCACTGCATGGGATTGAGTGCCGTCTTGAATGGGGCAATGTCGTCTTGCACTGTTGACTCATCGAGGCACCACCAGTCGATCGGCACGACTGCTGGCCGGCTTGGTGTGCATGTCACTCACATCTTACATGCCCGCTGCTCCCTTTTCTGCCAACCTCGTATGACATGGCCAATCTTTCATGCAATGACTTGTGCGCCGACAGCTCAACGCCACCCCCACTGCATGGGATTGAGTGCCGTCTTGAATGGGGCAATGTCGTCTTGCACTGTTGACTCATCTGAGGCACCACCAGTCGATCGGCACGACTGCTGGCCGGCTTTGGTGTGCATGTCACTCACATCTTACATGCCCGCTGCTCCCTTTTCTGCCAACCTCGTATGACATGGCCAGTCTTTCATGCAATGACTTGTGCGCCGACAGCTCAACGCCACCCCCACTGCAAGGAATCGAGTGCCGTCTTGAATGGGGCAATGTCGTCTTGCACTGTTGACTCATCTGAGGCACCACCAGTCGATCGTCCCGACTGCTGGCCGGCTTGGTTTGCAGCACCCTCAACTATGACAACCACAACATGCACATATGAAATGACCAATCTTTCGTTGACGTTGGCCAACAGCTCAACGCCACCCCTGCTACAATATCTTCTTGCACTGTTGACTCATTTGTGGCACCACTTGTTGTTCGCCATTACTCTTGGTGTGCATGTTCCGTGCTTGGACAGAAAAGCCAAAGGTCTGCTAGTCTAGCAAACCAGTGGCTTTTTTGACTTGGGTTCCCAAAACTGTGTAATTCCCATCCTTGGCAAACTGTGTGAGCAGCTCCACAGTGGGCTCCTGGCCTCAAATGCTTGGCATTTTGAGTCACTTAAGCCCACGTTCACATCTTGCGTAAAGGGCTTGCAACGCATTGCCCGTGCCGTGACATGGGTTGTCATGCCCAAAACAAAATGTGGCCCTGGCTGCCGAGCTCGGCTTTGGTGTTCTTCAACCAACGCAGGCACTCCTGGGCGAACAAAGCAGCAAGCCACATGCACAACGTGAACGACCTCTTGGGCGTGCAAAGTAAAGGCGATATCTCACTCACATGCAAAATAGAAAAGCCTTAGCATACTGCATGGGTGCATTTAGATAGCAAAACAATGTGGGATGACTGCACCTGGTGACATCTCTTGAATTTTGAATCTGTGGAAAAATGAAGAAACCACAAGCCGAAGCAGCGCCTGGTTGGCGAGACCGTGCAAGGGCCCGGCCTGGGAAACTTGTCCGGTCTGCTTGTGACTACATCCAGGCTCACTTCGGGCACTTCATTGGGATCACATCTCCCCTCCCAAGCTTACAGGATGTGGCAAAGGCGCGGGCCAAACCACACACACCAGCAGCGTAGGAATAGTACCTGGCAAAGCCAATCAACGAACGAAGCCACAAAGCACATGATCCTCTAGCGCAAGGCAAAACCCCTCGGGACACGATGACAGTGAGAAATCATGTTCAGCGTACGGTCTTTGGCTTGGCCTAAACTCAATCATGGTATCCTCCACTGCAAATGACAGGTGCTGTTGCGCCGCTCGAAAGAAATCATTGGCTCCAACCAGCTTGACTACTGCAACTGTCGGGGCTGAAAGCACGCTTTGTATCTAGGACACAAGTAGAACACTCCTGCAAAAGCAACATCTCACCCAGCTGACCAGGTTTCTGGCGACAAGATGCGTTTTGGGGCCTAAGGCAGATTGGCTCACGGGTCGCTCAAGGCACTACCCACCAGGTGCGTCGTGTGCGCGGAAACGTTGCCCGCCTCAAGGCCGGGCCGGGCATCATCTACACAGTTGCTGCTCGTGAAAGCCGGCAAAGACCAAGCGGGCGGTTGCCATGTTTGAGCTTTGAGGATTGGAAAACTTCTCAGCTGCGGTTGCACAGCTGCAAGTCCCAAAGAATTGTTCTGTCGATTTGGATGGCGCGAAGGGTGGAAAGAAACTGGTGACTGGCACCTCGTGGTCTGCATGGAGCATCAGGTACAAGCGCGTCACATCCATGAAGAGGGGATCTTTGGACACACCTTGGGGTGTTCATCAAACACCTTGACGTGTCAGTGGCAAGGGCACTATCTCAGAACCGCGCCGAGCATCTGGGCGTAGTTTCCCGCCCAGTCCATGGTTGGGTCGCTGGGGATCTTGGCAAGTGTTTCAAGTGTCAGCTGGCACATGAGTCCTTCATGAGCATGTTTGCTGATCCATGTTTTAATCACACAAGCAAAGAAAATGCAAAGCCCACAGCACTTGCCTCTGGCTCACAGTTAGCAAGCAACTGCCAAGGCTGAGGGACGAGCATGCTTGCCCTCTGCAAAGACATTGCGGAAGATGCGGGCAGCCAAAATGGGCGTCTTTGCTACCAGGGACAGCGCCTGGGAAAACCGTGGCAGCCAGCCTGCCAGCTGAAAGCTTGTTGAGAAACCATGCTTAAGTTTGTTGATGTGAAACAGGCCTTTGATGAGAAAAGCACCGCACTTTCTGGCCTTTGGTCTTTTCGTCACGAGTCAAGAGCTGAGCCACTGGGGCACCGCACATCCTCCAAGGTGTGGGTCCTGCAATCTTCCCGCAAATGGCAATCTTCCCGAGTCCGGGAATGTTCTGATACGTTGAGGAAGTATGTCAGTTGCCTGCCAATTGGGCAGTGTCAATAAAGTCAGACAACGGCCATGTTATTGGCATTGTCTGGGCATTGGCACCTGCACGGGTGAATGGCCAATGTGTTGTTTGCTTTTTGTTTTTGCTGTTGTTTGTTTAAAACATAGATAGTATCATAATATCCATCCCTGCTGTTGATCTTCCTCACCCTGGCATGTTTGACCCGGGTGTCTGGCCAATACTCTGTCTTCTTCACGCTGCCAGAGCGGTATGCCTGGCCAGACTTGGAGAGGATGTCAGGGTCAGGATGTCAGGATGCGTCTGCTTGCCACGTCCCAAAACAAATCGCAGAGCTCGGATGCAGAACCTTCCAGTGTTCCCTGCCAGGCGCAGGTGGGCGCAAGTTGGCCCGTGCCTTGCCAAAGTCACTGGTGGGCTGGAGTGCTAGCAAACCCATGGCCAGCTGGGTCATGGGATGGGTATCCTGACACCACATCCACTCTCTCTCACAGCAATTCAAAGCAATGCCGGCGTTCGTCATTGGATTGATCTGACTCTCTGCCTGTATCTAGCAAGCAGCCGTCATTCCGCATCAAAAGACCCCCGACCTGGGCATCACAGTTGACTTGCCAGGGGGGGGTCGCGGCTTTAGAAAACTCCGCAATTGATACATACTTCAGTCCTTGGGCAGCGCATCGATCATCTTGGTGACGCTCTCGGGAAGCGCCGATCGCTTGTGCAGCTCCTCGTTGAGTGCCTGCCGAGCAGCCGGACAAATATCGTGTCCATGTCAAGGAAACGATGCCAATTAACAAGCGAATGACCTCATAGCAGAACGTTGGATCGTGAGAAACGCAAGATTCAACGTGGCAGACCCAATATAGCAGGGAATCATGAAAGCACAATTTCTACGTGATGCACCCGAGCAGTGCTCAGCAAGCCAGTCTTAAGTAGCTTTCTGCCTTCACTTCCGCATCGGATGGCATCTCACCAGTCAGCAGCAGCCAGAATGACGCCTTGCGAAGGTATGTTCCATCAAAGACACCACATGAAGCAACCACCACCGCCAACATCCCTTGAGGCAACACTGCCAAACAAATCCTCTGCACTTGTCATACATCACAACACACTCTCAGCCTCAAGCCAAGCAAATGTGCGCCAATGGCCTCTTCTCAACCGTGCAAGAGGCGCCTCCGGCAGGCCAATCTTGCTGCCCGGCGCCTTTGGGAGATTGTCCATGCACTCCTGACGGAGTCGCACTCTGACGGTAAGGCCAGATCCGAGCCCTGAGGCAACTGGAGCTCATGCGCAGCACTCCTGCAAAGTGTAGCCGCGGTAGCGGATGCCCTCCATGGGATCCTCACAGCAAGGCACCATGAGATTCGAGGCAAAAAGCCCGGAAAAACAAAAAAAAGTAGCAATGTGAGTGGCACCCGTGGAAGATCAGAACCAGCCCGTTCTCGATCTTTGTTCCGTCTGTCACCCTTGATGCAGTCCAGCAAGGATGTCTCGCTGACCAGGCAGGTGATGCCGCGCATGCCACCGATGCACCTCGTAAGAAAAGTGGGACAAAACAGCCTGTGGTTTTTCAGCTCGGCCCAGCGCAAGTTGGAAGGCTCCTGTTGAAATGCTTTGTTCATGGTGCCGGATGCACATCGTGAGTTGAAGACATGAAGGGGACTTGCGTGAACAAATTAAGATCAACAAGCCATGTAAAAGGATACATTCGCCTCGGCCCCCAGGGCTGGGAAGAGGTTCTCTGTCAGAGGCCAAGATCTGCCTCCAGTGTGCTCCCAGGGGCTGAAAAGTCGTCAGGTTCTTTCAGGAAAGGGATCTGGACAAAACCGGTATCTCCGATCAACTTCCTCCGGTCAGATCCCGTCAAATCGTCTAGAAAAGTTCACCACAGAAACCACTCAAATCCTCCAACTCCAGTCAAGCCAGTAAAATCCCCCTTCCCCCTCTTGAAGCACCGGTCAAATCCCCACTAAAAACCGCAGAAACCAGTCAAACCCCCTCTAAAAGGCAGGAATTCCATTTTAAACCGGTCAAATCCCCCCAGAAACCAATCGAATCCCCCCGAAAAACCGTAGAAGCCGGTCAACTTCCCCTCTAGAAACCTTCTCTAAAAACCGGTCCAACTCCGGTCAAGTCCCCTAGAAACCGGCAAAATTGCACCTTCGCTTGGCCCAAGCCCACTGTCATTCTGCTCGCCATGTGGAAACGCGCGGACATGCACCCTGTACCTTGGAAACCAGCTCATGCATTTCGGCGCCGACTCACTCTCTCTAACAAACACAACACTTCAAGGCAAACTAACACACTGCATGCCTGAAAGCCAGCCAAAACCGGACTGGCTGAGGCGGGCCGCGAACGGTTTACAATAAAAATGCCATGTGTATGATGACACAATGCGTCCACAGGGAGAACAAGCACCAAAGCAGAGCAACACATGCAGCATCTGCTGACCCAAGTCGTTGCTCGGCAAACATGAATCTGACCCATCTTGTCGGAAACCGCTCAAATGGTCAGTTCTGGCCACTCTCTACCAGGGACATCCAGGGACCATGGCAGCCGCCGCCACAACCACTGTTCAGCTTCAGCGCTCGAGCCGAATCAGTTGACAAATGTAGGTGTACTGTGCATTATATGTATATTATAATATATGTATGTATGTATATATATATATATAACCCTCCCAGCCTGTCTCTACAGCTTTATGGCTATGTGATCGAGATGAAAATACAACCTTGCCCTCTAGGGCTGTCGCTGGCCGACGGTCGTCTCCCCAAGGGAAACGTTGGCATGCTCCTCAGCAGGTCCCAAACCAGAAATGGAATTCCCACGATCCGTGATTGGAGTTGCCGAGAGTACAGGGCAGCCCAAATGTCCGAATGTAATTGCACCAGGCTTGTTTTGACTGCCTGAAGCAGGAAAGCGCAGAAATGCCTACACTTATTGCAACATCAAAGGCATCCATCGATACTTCCCAAGTTCTCGGGATGATGTGCCTAGTGTTTTTGCTCAACAGCACTCTGCTAGCTTTTGCAGACACGCCTGTCCGGCAAACCCACTCAGCGCAAAGTAACCCCGGGCCTTCCGCAAAGCTGTCAACTGCGGCGCCTTCTTGTCAGCCAAAGCCTCATCCCACGTGCTGATGTGTTGCAGTTGTTCTTTGTTATTCTTGCTGTCTGTTTTTGTTCGAACAGCAAGAATTGCCATTTGCCTCATTGACAATCATGTTCGAAGGAAGTTTAGAAGTCTAACTTCCGACAATATCGACAACTCAAGCAGAGCAGTGCAGAGCGAGAGATAGAGAGAGAGAGAGAGAAGAAGAGATGAAGAAGCGATGAAGAAAGATGAAGAAGCGATGAAGAAAGATGAAGCATGGTGTGCGAAATGTTAGAAAGGTCGCGAAATGCTGTATTTTTCAATGTTTTGAGCCTCCAGACGGCCCAGAAGTTACTTCGGTAAAGCGGCGGGTGCGGAGCCTTTGGTCGGAATTGCTGGCAAAAAATCGCACGCGGCCTGCGCGCGGTGCACATTTGGAAGTCAAAATCGTAAAAACACTACATGCTCGGGCTACTTTTGGAAGCTCCAACTTTCAAAAATCGCACGCGGCCTGCGCGCGGTGCACATTTGGAAGTCAAAATCGTAAAAACCTGAGAGGGTCGGGCTACTTTTGGAAGCTCCAACTTTCAAAAATCGCACGCGGCCTGCGCGCGGTGCGCGTTTTTAAGATGCAATGTAGCTTGACAGCGGTAAAACGCATTGGAATGGCAACGCGCAAGGCTTTTATCTAACTTGGAAAAATGCGTGGCGCCTGCGCGCGGTGCGCGTTTTTTAAGATGCAATGTAGCTTGACAGTGGTAAAACACATTGGAATGGCAACGCGCAAGGCTTTCATCCAATTTGGAAAAAATGCGTGGCGCTTGCGCGCGGTGCGCATTTCTAAGATGGAATGCAGCTTGGCAGTGGTAAAACGCATTGGAATGGCAACGCGCGAGGCATCCTACGCTGCCCTGTTGAGTTAGTCGCGCTCTAGATAGATAGACAGACAGACAGATCGATAGATAGATGAAAAGGCAGATAGATAGATGGATAGATAGACAGACAGATAGATAGATAGATAGGTAAATAGGTTTAAAGATAGACAGATAGAGAGAGGGGGAGATGGTCAGAAGGGGAGATGGTCAGAAGAACCTGGGTGTTCAGGCCGCGGGTACGATCGCAAGAAAGAGCGAAGGACGGACAGAAAAGAAACAATGAAAAACAAGAAGGACAAAAAGAAGAAGAGAAAAAGAGTCAAGAAAAGAAAGAGAAAGAGAACTATAGTTTTTATATTTTTGAAACTTCCGCCCACCGGCTTCGCCGGCTCTACTGGTAACAAATACCCACTCTTCAAACTTGATCGCGCCTTGATCTTGGACTGCAGTTCGCCAACAATAGCACTCTGCGAGAACGCACGCCTCCTCAGCTCTCGTCAAATGCTCACATCCACAGCTAAGGAAAACAAAACAAGTGGTGGAGATTGAGAGACTTCTGGATTTCAGCTCCAGCCACAAACATCCCAAAGGCCAATTTGGTGCATACTCTGCTGCGAAGCTGCTGCGGGCGGCTCAGCCGGCAAAGGGCCTCCCCAAGGTCATTGTTACGTGACACTTTCTTGACAAGAACAGGTGTGAAATGTGTTCTGATGAACCGGCGACTGCTTGGCGATGTGAGTCTCAGCACTTCGGGACTGTTTAACAGTTTAACATCTTGAAGCTCTGCAGCTCATCGATCAGCACAAGGCTCATGCAGCCATCGGTAGGGTAGCTCCAAAAATGACATGCCGGCTCTGCCTGACGCATCATGGTAAAGTCTCCGCAGGCGGGCAACAGCTTGGACCGGTGCAAAGCTTGCAGCACAGAGTCAAAATGATGAAGTCCATCAAATCTGGCTGCGGTACCCTGAAGGCACGTTCAGGGTATGCCAGGTATACGCAACTGCAGGGCCATCAAATGCAACAGGTCGCAATCCTTTCATCAAAAACAAACACCACACGGCACAAGTTCCTTCCAACATGCCGCAGGCTGCTACAAACATCAAGAGAGCTTGCCTCAGTGTGCTCAGTACAGCTTCCAGACTGCAGAAATGCGAGAAGTGCTTCACGGGCGTTGACATTGACATGATGTTTCTGCGTAAAGCGCGTAGATTTCAGGCTCCTTTGCAGACAATTGATGTTCTCAGGGCTATAAGCCCTTTGAAACTCTGCCAACAATCTGGTATCGCCTCACATCTTGTGAAGCCGAAAAACCAGGCCTATGATATGTGTTCATTGCCATCCCGGAACTGTTGCAAATACTTTCTGACATCCGGAGATTGCTCACCAGAAATAAGAGCTCCGGATCGGCTGTACTTGGAAAGTAAATGTTGCAAACTTTGTGCATCGCAAACCTCCCAAGGAGGGTGAATGCCCACTTCACTCGGGGCCTTCAATGGCGGCAACCTGTGCCCAGGAGGACAGTCACTTACTATGCTTGGTTGGAGAATTGCGACAGCTGCCTCAAAGGAACTTGCCACCGGAAAACTCAAAAAGTCAAAAAACAAAAACAAAAAAGTGCTCATCCTACAAAACAGCTACTCAACGAGTCTATGATATGGAAAGATTGTCCTTGGCTGAAGCCACTGCCCTGGAAACGGACTGGCTCTTCGCCTCGCGGGGCTTCTCGTCCCGCCAGGGGCTGGGCAGAAGACCTGCATCCGGCAAGGCGAATGTGCTTTCAATGTTTCCATGTATGCTTGCAGGAGCGACAAACGAACAAAAAACCGCCAAACGCATCACACACCTAGCCGGATTGCAAGGCAACTCGGAAAATGTGTCCTATCCCTGAGATGCCACGCGCATGCAAAGACAAGGCCTGCAACCTTGACTGACTATCGCTCTGGGAACTATGGAGCCGACTCCTAGGCTTTTCTTCCATCATGTCCAACATCTGCTGCTTGTGAGCCTGTCCCAGGCGAAGCGGCTCTCAAACGCAAATTGCGTTTGACCGTGTCGAAGTCGACAACTGTATGCGAAAGGGACAAGGCAATGACAATGCATTGGCTCTCTCCAATCACTGATGACTGTCTCACACTCAAAATGTCAGCCAACAAAATGACCTGCAAGCCCTCCCAACCGGCATCTCTTTACTCACCAAGCTCAAGACGGGTGCGGCCTTCTTGAGGGCACCCTTTTTGGGTCTGGCTCAAGGAAAACTGGCAGGAACCCCGTTTTCATGGGATGCCCAGGGTCGTTCAAAATGGGGGGGGATCCTTAATCCTAATCCGCAATCTGTAGCAGCACACCTGGAAGGAAAACCACTATCTGGTATCAGGATGTGGCAGATTGATTTTGAAGATCCCAGTCAAGACGTGGGCCTTCACAAAGCCATCTTTGAGTTTCACCCAAAGACAACGACCAAAACATAAAACAGCCCTCCCCTCCTCAAAGCTGGCCCTCAAGAAGCCGAAGTGCACCTCCTGCTCTTGAAGCCTGGCCACCCCGGACGGAAAAAGAAGAAAAGAAAAGTTGAAAGGGGCAAAAGACGCGGGAGGAACAGGGCACGGAATCAGATCCTCTGGGGATTGGGGAGACTTTGGACGGCATCCATCTCCGTGGCCTGGGGAAGTACAGCTGGCACTGCTCCCAGAGCTGCTCCAAGCGCTTGGAGACCTTCGAGTCATTGGAAGCATTTCAACTCCAAGTATGTCTCCTACAAGAAAGCCCCCCCCCCCCAAAAAAAAAAGGAAAAAAACATCACCGTCAGCTTGCACCCTGCCTCTGGCAACTCCTGCACCAGCTGGCGCAACCTTGCAGAATCACAGCCCTTGAGTCCTTCATGCGGCAACTGACACAAGCGGCAACTGGCACAAATATACTAGCAAATTGAGGATAAGTACGAAGCTCGAGCTGACAAGGTAGCTTCTGGGTGTCATACCAACAATAAACATCTGACACGCCTTCCGTTTTCACAACCTGCCCTCCATGACTTTTTGAGCAGCAACGACCCTCATCCTGAGCTTCTACAAATTGAAGGGACTGCTTGAGTCCCACGCGTGACTTGTTGCTCGTCTTGCCCATCCTGGCAGGCGCACCAAGGAGCTCTTGGGCGCGTGGGTTTTCTCCAGTTGTTGCAACAAGCCAGGCTGCTTCGCTTTGTGGACCACCAGGAATCCGCTGAAAAAGCTGCAACAACGGCCCACTTCATAAGAGCAAAGGCATCAACCGGCCTGCACATCGTGCAGCTTCTGCGCCTGCTCGGCCAGATTTCCTGAGACAGTCTGAGATCAAGGCTGCCAAAGCTTCTCAACGTAGTTTTGACAATGTTTCTCAAATCAGGTGTGCACTTCTTTTGGAAAGATGATGAATAGACTGTCCAAACATACAAAGAGAAACGAGACATAGAGGAACCAGGCTCTTGCTGGTTTACCAGCAAGGGTGGGGAGGCGCTTTGAAAGCAGCGGCAAGAGCAATACATCCTTCCCAGCCGCGGGATCAAATGCATATAGATCACAATCCAAAAGCACCCCAAGATTGGCAAGGGTACACGGGCGAACATGGTTTCTCTTTTGAAGGTGAGTAAACCCAGCTTTGTTTCAAGACATGGCAACATCACCATGGGCCGGACTCTCCAAGCGCGCATCGAGGCCCTCTAGCGCCATGGCCTGGATGCGCTCGGGAAGAGATAACACGACTTCGACCTTGGGTCGACATCATTTATACTAAAAAGTTGTTAAAATATGCTGAGTTGCTAGGATGTTCAAACATTGAGCCTTGAACTGAATAACTGTTTGGGACAGGGGCTGAATGCTGGGGTAAAGTGCCTCATTGCTTCTCATCGCAGCTCGAAATGTCTTGAAAAGTTTGACCCCTGAAAGTCACGCTGGCGATGCTTTCGAGCCCCTAACAAGGTCACGCCTCACCTATTGGCTGTTGCATTTGGGCACTTGCGACGATCCAAGGCCGCCGCCAAGTTCTCCAGGCTGCGCTGCTGCTGCCTCTCCTGCACATGCTTTTCCTGGACTACTTCAAACATGGAGACGTAGCTGACCAGAGTCTGCAGGCTTGTCCCTGGCAAGCAGTTTGAAGGGCAGGGAACTCGCCCAAAGATCCCGGCCCTCTCCTGCTGCTGATCCATGAGCCTCAGCGTGGCCACCCGACCCCTCTGGTCCACTTGCGACTGGACCTGCCGGCGTGCCGGGCTCAACATGAGAAAACAACCCAAGGTCCTTTGCGGGAAAAAAACAAGGAAGGTGCTGCCTCTTGCTGAGTTGTGTTCAAGCAGCAAACTAGGAAGGAATTGGCCGCCTACATTTGAGGCGACTGAGTTAGCTAGTATTGGCGAAGATCCCAATATAATTCCGCTCCTGCGCAGCGAGGCCGTAGAGGTTCGCCTCCAACTCCTCCACCTTCAGGCCGGCGGCAACATCCCCTGGGTTTCTACTGTGGACACACAATGGGTGATTTCCTTTTGGCTTCCCTTGTATGCGACCTCACATGGTATGGTACCCCTCAGAAAAAGACACGCACACGTTTGCCGTCTGATCAGAATTGGCCTTTAGACACGCTGCAACCCCCGGGCCCCTCCCGGCTGGATTTTGCGGCTTCTGCTCACGCCTTGTCCCGCAGCTCCTCTTGCGCCACGGCCTTGGAATTTGAGTTCGCAATTCGCAAAACCCGCTCAATGCTCGTCAACTCGGGGCATACTGGCATCCATGCACGGTGCTATCAGCCTCTGCTTCAAGCGGTTTTGCTATACAGCGGAATCGCAACCTGCAAAGCAACATTCAGACATGTCTCACAGCAAGCGCAGTTCGCAGCCAGCCACAATCCGCAGAATACACAAGGTGCGAATGGAAGACTGCTACCCTCACTGGTCGGGAATCGTGTGTGTTGCCATACACACAGCATCCAAATCGCTTGGATGCTTCAAGAGCTTGCAGAGAATCACCCAAAACACAATCTGTTGTGGTACAAAGTATGAGTACTCTGTACATGTCGTGAGCTGGTTCAGCACGGGGATCTAGCATCAAACTTCCACAACAACTGTGTCAGTCCGCAAGACAAAAGGCCAAAACTGGCAAAGATTCAGGTACACTTTTTGACCCGTGGGCATAAACACTGGGAAAGACCGCACCACCCGGGATTCAGATGTTCTGGCCAGATTTGAGCAAGATCTTGCTGAGGGGGCAGCCGTGGGATGGTGCTCAGCTTTCCCTGCCACAAACATGAAAGCACAAGTCTGGTGTCATGTCTTGAGCCGGGGAACCAAAAAGCACGCGGAAGTGAGGCCTTGGGGGAAGGTGTGGGGCTTGCAATCAAGTCCCTCCCCAGCGCCACCCCACCCGCACGCTTCTCGCAAAGAACGGAGCCCTATCCTTGTAACAACCGGCGTGCGTTATCGTGCCACTTGTTACCGAAACAGGTGTGGCCCTGTCTGAGCAGCCAGCACCCGTGCAAGCCCCATATGGACGCTTCCAGAAAGCGGCAGTTGGCCAGCTTCCGTCAAAATCGGCCAACCCTTTGCTAATGGACCATCAATCTTGCGGCTGCGCAGAAAAGGCTTGGCTTCACTTTCAACCTGTGACGCAATCAAAAGGGACTGTCTGGCCCCACTTTTGCACAAAGCTGTAGTAGAGCCAGGTCCGTGGAGCACAACATTCACCAGCACTGAGTCCCAACGCTGCACCCCACTGCCACACTCCGACAAGGGGCAGCTACCCAGCCTTCTGCTTCACGGTCCGCAAGGGCCTGCAATCGCAGAGAGCTCAAGCTGCATGCTTTCCAAGTATCAGGAGCTCAACTGACTGGAGCAGCAATGGCAGTAGGCCGCATCTTCTGCAAGAGCAAAAGAAAGAAAGGAGGCAGCTCAAGGCAGGGTGCAAGGGTTTGCCAAGCCAAGCGACCTTGGCCACAGCTCTTACCCTCTCTGTAATATCAATGCAGGGTGATCGTCCATGTGATCACGTTATCCATTTCAAGGAGATTATCACAGAATCCCTGGAAGGGTCCAGTTTTTGATAACCCCAAGGTAGACTTCAAGTTCCCCAAAAAGGGGAAGCCCCAGTTGCAAGTCCAGCTTGGGGTGGTCAACCATGACTGCGAGAGCGATTTATTACGCATGTTGAGTTGAGGTTAAAGTGCTCTGTGGCCAACAAAAGCTTCAAGAACCGCAGCGGACACAAAAGTATTGCCTGGAAGGCCGAGCTATTGCCTGCTCATAGCCACAAGCCTGGATGCAGGAAGCCTACCATCCAGAATTGACATGAGCAAAAGCAGGGCCTTGTATGTGTGGAAGAGCCTGCCAAACAGTGCAAACTAGGCAATGTCAGGAATCTGAGACGTGTCGCCACATGCCAATTGTGCAAACCGTAAGCAAGAGTAGCAAGGCAGGGAAAGCTAAAGGCAGTCCTCCACAGCAGGCGGCCAAGCTTTATCATACTTTTGAGCGTCCGCTCGCATGGGTGTTGTTGGGATCCATTTCAATGCAGTCCTTCTCGCACAAAGCCGAGAGCTTGTCGACAAGAAAGAGAAGAAAGAAGTGTGTACCGACTTGAAACAGCACAATCATCCTCTCATTCATGGTCGACTATGTCGACTCTCATTTTGTGGGCCAGTGTCATGGTTCCCTTACCATGGGTTGACCAAACTAAGATGATCCTCCCCCCCCCCTTCCCCGCCCCCCCCCCCCTGCGCAACCAGGTGCGCAAAGCATCACGCAAAGTCTGCATCCAGCCTGAAGAGATGCACCGGTGTCACTGACTCGGTCCGCCAGGGCGTCTACAATAAGGAGGATCTGCTCCAGGCGGTGGTCCTGCCCCCCAGCCACCGGTGCAGCTATGAAGCACAGACAAATGAGCTTGCCGCATGGGAGACTTGCAGCCCAGCCCCCTGGGCATCCATAGATGTGTCAAAGGCAAGTGTGCGCACACTTTCGCCCAAGTTTCTACAACAATCTGCAATGGTTGTCTCTAGCCCAACATCAATGTGTGAACACAATATAAAAACTGCATATCTGCCCTGTCCTGCTCAGACAATTGATGCGAAACGTCAGGCCTGGGGGGCAATCCGCACATACCGAAGTATTGCAGCACTTTGATCATGTGGGTCCGCAAAACATAACATGCACCGGTTGCACAAAGAAAATGACTCCAGAAGGACGGCCTGTCCAAAGCCTGACAGCTAGTGCCTCAGTCCCCTGGCATGCTAGGCTTCCCGGCCCCGGATCCAAGTCTTTGCCAAAACATCGCTCAAACTCCTCCTCCATCTCCAAGCCCTCCTGCTACGCTTCGAAAGCATGTCACTTTTGCCAAACCCGCCCAGGCGGCCTGCTTCTCGTGCACCGAGAGTGCCATTTTCAGCGCTCGCTGGGCCCCCATGGCCAACTTCCGGTGAGACTGTTCCAATGCAGACAGCCTGGCCGTCCCATGCAGCGTGATCATGAACAGGTTCGAGCAAAAACAAAGAAGTCAAAAGCCCAAGATGCCAAGCGCTGGGTTTTTATGCCTGCCTCGTGTCCAGGCGGGAGCCATCGGAAGGGCCTGAGCAAAAAACAGATCACCCACAGTACTTTGCTCACTAGCGCGGTGCCTGCGAATCCATTGGTGGAGAGGCGCACCTCCAAGCAAAGGGGTCAGCAACATGCACACCTGATATGTCTTTCCATTCAAAAGCCTCTCCTCCCAGAGCACTATGACATCCAAGCTCTTTGGTTAGTTTCAATGACCTTCAGCCTGAACATGTGAAGGCCTCCATGCGCTCGCCAAGCTCCTGACTGAGACAGTCGCTTTCAAAGCTGCAGGCATGCTATCGAAGAAACAGCCTTTCCTTACGATCTCCAGCCAGTGAAACTCTTCTGACTCACAGGTCGCCATATGTTGAACAGTTTATATGCGGCATCCTTCAATCCTATCGCTGGAAGTGGATCGTTGCTACTGCCTTGCACACATCTCCATCTTTTGGCTGAGTGTTCTTGAGCTTGGGATGATGCCAGAATGGGTCTGCAAACGCATTGGTCACCAACACATTCAGTTGGCCACGGCTTGAGGTGCTACAAGCGACTCTGCTTCTGTTCCGTGAGAACTGTTCATGCAAGCACTAGCTCCTCGACACGGCGCCAGCAAGCTTGGAGTTCCTCTTGAATCCTTCGAGCTTCCCCGGTCCCCGCGAGGCAAAGTCAAGGTGACCATGACCACTCCAACATCAATGGAACCCTCCGTGGAAGACTTCCGCAACCCTAAACCTAGGACTCACATCTTTACTATGCTCTTTGTGATGTAAAATGGTCCCCAACTTCGCCCAAGCAACATGTGGCGCCCTGCCTGCGCTGACTGTCGTTCTCGACTCCGAGACCCTGGGCAGGTGAACCCAAATGTCCAGCCACCTAATTTCGCATGTGGGAACAAGTGGGTCCGCATGTGCATCAACCTGTGCGTGAACTGCGTGAGCTGCGTGAACAAACTCTAGTGCCTGTGTGTGCACATGCATGTGAGCATTTCTTCAGCAACAAGTCAAACAGGCTCGGAAGGGTCAAGTCATCCAAGGCATGGAATTGAGACGGCCCGCCTCCATGCATTTGTTCCACTCTCCTTCCTGGCATACAATCAAAGCTTACTAGTAAGAGACAGAAACAAACCTCTACACAAAACTGCTACCACCCTGTTTTGTTTCACAGGGAGGTATTGCAACCGAAACATGTCAGGTTGAAGCAGAATGTCTCTACTCTCAATCAAGACTCGAGGGTTGGGAATAAGGCTGCGCAGCTACCTTGCACATGCCCCACCTTGCAGCTGCAAACCAGGGTAAGTTCACGCTTACCCCCTTCAGTCCGCTTAATGAACAACCAAAGCCAACATGATGGTTACATCCCTGGAAATACTGCCGTGTCTATCATGTTGACAGCTGGCGCCCCCTGTGGACAGAGCAAACCTACACTTGACATAGCAAGGACACCGCATGACTCACTGACCGACGGAATCCAAAGACTAGGACTCGGTCCTCCGACAACTCCTTGGCAGTCTGCAAGGCCCGGTGGGCCCCCAGCGCCACTGCGCGCTGGCCCCGCTCCGCGGCCTGAGATGAAAGCCCTCAGGCAACACTTTTCATGGCTGACTAAATCAAATGTGCCAAAACGATCCAAGACGCGTCTTTGCCTGATCGGCATTGTTGGCTTGCAGGTTTGAATGTTTGCTGGATCTTGGAACATCGGCGGCGAAATATCACGACGCCCACAAACTCTCAGTAGGCTGAGCCAATCTTAAGCCGGAACCTGTTTTCAGCTAGAGCAAAGAAGCGCTGATACATCGTGGAATTGTAGTCTTTTGTGATCAAACTGAGTCCAGTCAAATCAGCCCCTGGCAAAGCTTTGTGCAAACTGCTGCTCCTGCGCGTGGAAGTTTGAAGCTCGCCAAACAATTCCCATAGCCTACTTCTAAAGCAGGCCAGAATGCTATGCAGCTATGGCTACGCTGCGCTAGACATGCCGACCCGGGGCTTAGCATGGCAAAGCCATCACCAGAAAGACCAGAGCAACATAACAGACATCGTGGCCAGCATGGGACTGCACTTTGGGCAAGACCACACTGAATGTTGACGACAAAAGCACAGAAGAAGCCTCAACAGTCCCCGCTCGCTCCGCTCAGTGCTCCTGAAGCGCCTGCAACTGGCTGTCCAACTCCACCAGTCGCCGGTCAAGAAGCACCTGCCAGACCCATACATTCACAACTTCACAACCATCCCAATACCAAGTTGCTCATGAGCAGGCGCACTTTGCCCAGAGCAAAACAGCAAAAACCAGCGGCTCCATAGACGGTTGCTGCTCATTGGCACAAAGCAGCGCATAAATCGTGCTGCCTGACTGAGGTGCTCGTATCCTTCAAAGAAAGCAGCAAAGCTGTAACCAAACTACTACCAAATACCGAATCTTGCGTCAAAAGTGAGTTGGAAGTCACTGAATTTACTGTAAAGTTCCATGCTGCTCTGCAAATTTGTTTGGCGGTACTCCTGGCTGCCTTGTCACTGGCTCTCCAGCCACCCTGCCTGCCGGCTTTCCACTCCACGAAGGTCTTGGTTAAGCCTTGCCCCGATCTGCGCCCCTGGACCCCCAATCTAAGAGCAGCCTGCAAGATCAACCTAGCAAACTGTCGTTGTTGTTGTTGTTGCTGCTGCTGCTGTTGCTGTTGCTGTTGCTGGTGTTGCTGTTGCTGTTGCTGTTGTCACTGCTATTGCTATTGTTGTGGTTCTGGTTGCGGCTGTGGTGGCGGTTGTTGTTGTCGTTGTCGTTGTCGTCGTCGTTGTCGTTGTCGTTGCCGTCGCCGTCGTCGTCGTCGTCATCGTTGTTGTTGTCGTTGTCGGTGTCGTTGTCGTTGTCGTTGTCGTTCTCGTTGACGTTGTCGTTGTCGTTGTCATTCTCGTTGTCGTTGTCGTTGTCGTTGTTGTTGTTGTTGGTTGTTGTTGTTGATGTTGTCGCTCTCGTGGTTGTTGTCGTTGTGGTTGTGGTTGTGGTGGTTGTTGTTGTTGCTGTTGTTGTTGTCGTTGTTGTTGGTGGTGTTGTTGCTGGCGCTGACGCTGTTGCGGTTGTTCCTGTTGTTGCTGTTGTCGTTGCTGCTGCTGTTGGTTTTGTTGTTGTTGTGGTTGTTGTGGCTGTTGCGGTTGTTGTTGTGGTTGTTGTCGTTGTTGTTGTTGTAGTTGTTGTTGCGTTTGTCGTTGTCGTTGTCGTTGTCGTTGCTGTTGCTGTTGCTGTTGCTATTGTTGTTGCTGTGGTTGTTGGTGGTTGTTAGTTGTTGTTGGTTGCCTGTTGATTGTTGTTGGTTGTTGGTTGTTGGTTGTTGGTTGTTGGTTGTTGGTTGTAAGTTGTTGGTTGCAAGTTGTTGGATGTTGGTTGTTGGTTGTTGGTTGTTGGTTGTTGGTTGTCGTTGTCGTTGTCCTCGCCGCCGCCGCTGTCGTCCTTGTTGTTGTTGTTGCTGTTGTTGTTGTCGTTGTCATTGTCGTTGCTATTGGTTGTTGTTGTCGTTGTTGTTGGTGGTGCTGTTGCTGCTGTTGCTGACGCTGTTGCTGTTGTTGCGGTTGTTGCTGTTGTTGCTGTTGTTGTTGCTGCTGCTGTTGTTGAATTTGTTGTTGTTGTGGTTGTTGTGGTTGTTGTGGTTGTTGTGGTTGTTGTGGCTGTTGCGGTTGTTGTTGTTGCGGTTGTTGTCGTTGTTGTTCTTGCGGTTGTTGTTGTCGTTGTTGTTGCTGGTGCTGTTGCTGTCGCTGTTGCTGTTGTTGTTGCGGTTGTTGGTTGTTGTTGGTTGTTGTTGGTTGTTGCTTGTTCTTGGTTGTTGTTGGTTGCTGTTCGTTGTTGTTGGTTGTTGCTGCTTTTTGTTGGTTGTCGTTGGTTG